AACTGTATTTACAAAAGCAGGTAGTGGCTGTGGTTGGCCTGCCCTGCTCTACCCCTGGAACTCACCACCTCCACCCTATCTGCTCACCTCAACAGCCCTGAGCCCCAACCAGCCTCTGTCCTCCTCAATCCACTGCTTTCCACTGTCCTTTCTTCTTAGCTACTCCCCCACCTTCTATACGTCTGACAACAGAGGCTTAACTTTAAAGGGTTAGAGCATGGAGCAGGGCTAGGCAGGGACCAGATGGCCGGAGGACGCAGCAGGGCCTGCCCTGGAATGTGGTTCATTTTCGACAGTGAGATCTTGCCAGCTACACATCCACAGCTCTTGAAGGATTCAGCAAGGTGGTTTCCTCCTAAAAACAAATGAGAGAGTTGTTAGTGAATGACCAAATGGTCCCAGTGACGCTAGGAAAAGCCGAGGGTAAAATGATCTGAGCAGCATGACTATGACAGATGAGCCCAAATGTGTACAGAGCACAGAAGGCTGGAGGGAGTCACACCCGAAACTCATGGCCACTCAGTGCATGTCTTCTGTGGGCATTCCATTGTGCTGAGAAAGCTCTAACATCAATACTTCTTTCATTTAGTCCCCACGACAACCTGGGAGGTAGACACTGTTAATATACCCATTTTACAGATGAGAAAACTGAGGCAGAGAGGGGTCAGAGAATGTGTCCAAGCTCACCTGTTGGTGACCCACCTGAGCCACTCCCTGCCACTGCCTCCTCCTCGTTATTGCTCTGCTTGGGTCTGGGTGGTGGTGGTGGTGGGGTCCTGTGGGTGACTTTTGTTTTGTAATGACTCAGTTTTTCCCAGATTTTCTTTTTCCAACCAACTAAACTAACCAGCCAGCCCCCAGACAAATTTGGGTAAGTTTTTTGTTTTGGCTGCTGGCCATACGGGGATCCAAACCCATGACCTTGGTGTTATAAGGCTGCCCTCTAACCAAATGAGCTAACTGGCCAGCCCGTCTTTTTCTTTTTCTCTTTTTGCAGCTGGACAGTAGGGGATCTAAACCCTAGATCTTGGTGTTATAATACCAACACTGTGCTCTGACCAACTGAACTAACTGGCCAATCCCCCAGATTTTCTTTAATGGAAAGATCTTTTTTTTTTTTTTTTTTTTTTTTTTTTTAAAAGATGACCAGTAAGGGGATCTTAACCCTTGACTTGGTGTTGTCAGCACCACGCTCAGCCAGTGAGCGAACCGGCCATCCCTATGTGGGATCCGAGCCCGGGGCCTTGGTGTTATCAGCACCACATTCTCCCGAGTGAGCCACAGGCCGGCCCCAGGTCTTACTTTCCTAATGGGAACCACGAACATTAGAAACAGATACTGAGGGGTCTGGACAGGAAGACTGAAGGTCTTCAGGGAGATGGGAAGACAGGGGCCACAGTTGTCCCCACCCCCACTTTTTTCAAATGGAAGTAAAATTCACATAACATAAAATTAAGCATTAACTATTTAAAAGTGAAATCAGTGACATTTAGCACATTCACAGTGTTGCACGGCCATCACCTCTGACAACTTCTAAGATACGTTTGTTACTTCAAAAGAAAACCCCACATCCATTAAACACTGACATCCCATTCCCCCTCCCCCAACCTCTGGCAACCACTAATCTGCTTTCTGTCCATATGGTTTTGTCTAATTCTGGACATTTTATAGAAATGGAATCGTATACAGTATGTGGCCTTTTATCTGGCTTCTTTCACCGAGACTAATGTTTTTCGGGTTCATGCATGTTGCATGCAGCCTGTGTTAGGGCTTCATTCCTGTTCATGGCTCATTACTACTTCATTGTGTGGATGGACCAGTTTCTTTACCCATTCATCTGTTGATGGACATGTGGGCTGTCTCCAATCTTTGGCTATTGTGAATAGTGCTGCTCTGAACTTTTGTATACAAGTGTTTGTCTCCGTTTTCAATTCTCTTGGAAAAAATTTTCCAATTCACCTAGAAGTGGAATTGCTGGGTCTATGGTAACACTATGTTTAATTGTTTTAGAAACTGCCAACCTGTTTTCCACAGCGGCTGTACCCCGCTTCCCCTCCTTTTTGCAACGAAACACCTCAGTCATTTCAAAACCACTCTCTCTGTGGAACAGGAATCTGAGATTTCAGAAAAGGCATCCCAACACAGGAGAGCCTATGACACAGTGGTCAGGTTCTGGGATCTGAATGCCTGGGTCCAAACTCTGGTTTCCCTGCTCTTTGGGTGTGTTGGCAGCATCAAAGCTTCCAAAGATGTCCCCAGCCTAATCCCTGTAACCTGTAACATACTACTTTCCATGACAAAAGAGATTTTACAGATGTGATTGAATTAAAGATCCTGAGATGGAGAGATTATCCTGGATTATCTGGGTGGGTACTAAATGTACTCACAAGAGTCCTTACGTGGAATTTTTTAAAAAAAAATTATTTTTATTTTTTAATTTTTAAAATTTTTTAATAGGATGACTGGTAAGGGGATCTTAACCCTTGACTTGGTGTTGTCAGCACCAAGTGAGCTAACCGGCCATTCCTATATAGGATCCAAACCTGTGGCCTTGGTGTTATCAGCACCACACTCCCAGGTGAGCCACGGGCTGGCCCCTACAAAAGTCCGTAGAAGTGTGAGGGAGGAGGGTAGCAGAGGCTGGAGGGATGAGAGGCCATGAACCAGGGAATGTGGGCGGCCTATAGAAGCTGGTAAAGGCAAGGAATGGATTCTCTCCTAGAACCTTCAGAAAGAATGCAGCCCGGGGTCCATTTTAGCCTCTGACCTCCAGAACTGTAGGAGAATAAATCTGTGTTAATGGAAGCCACTGAGTCTGTAGTGTTGTGTTATAGCAGCCATGAGAAATGAGTACATTAGGTGTGTGACTTGGGCTAGTGGCTTGACTTCTCTGTGCCTCAGTTTTCTCATCTGTAAAATGGGCATAGCAATAATACCCACTACAGGATTGCCATGAGGAATAAATTAGGTGATGTGCATACAGTGTTAGCTGCAGGGTCTAACATTAGTTGATATTTTTTCCCTGTTTGACCATAAGCCCCATAAGAAGCTGTGTCCACCTGACATACGACTGTCTCCAGGCTGAGCACAGCCTCTGGCCTTGACACTTGTCTGTGCACTTGCAAGGGTTATTTCGAGGATTAAAATAGAGAAAGGAAGGACCATGAAGACTCCTGGTCTGCTGCCAGGCACATCTGGGGGTAGGTAGAATGTAGGCACATTGCTCCTCCTTTCCTCTCTCCCCCTCCTCTCCTCTCCTCTCCCAACACATGCTCCTTCCCTTCCTTCCTTCTCTCTGTCTCACTCACAAAGTCAGCAGTGGCCACGTGCACATGTATTCCAGGGTGATTGTTTGGTATATTGAGAAAAGATTAAAAAAAAAAAAAAAGAAAAAGAAAATCCAGGGAATGAAGAAGCCAACAGGCCCGTGGCCCTCCTCCCTGGGTCCCTGCAGCACCAAGGTCGTTCCCAGGGGCTGCTGGGAGGCGGGCAGGGCAGCACGCCTGCTGCGCCTGGGCCCTCTCCCCCTGCAGCTAAGGCAGTCCTGGCTGGCCCTGGGGGAGGGCGGGGCTGGTTTCCAGAGCCTCAGGTGGGGTGGATCCGGAAGCAGGAAGCAGTCTGTGCTCCCCAGGACCCAGGAGCTGCTGGGCTGGGGGAACTCAGAGGCTTCCAGGAGGCAGGTAATAAGCCTGGGGACAGGGCTGGGGAGGAAGGGAGAGAAGGAGGATGGTGGTTAGGGAGGGGGCTGCCCAGGCCAGCGCCAGGGTAGGGACCAGAAGGGCTGGGCAAGGAGAGGAGTGGGACAGATGCTGGGCCCAGGGCAGCGGCTGGGGCCAACCGAGGGGCGTTGTGGGAGGTGGGCAGGGCGGCAACTGGCTCTGGGACTAGGACTGAATGGGCTGGGTGAGCAGGGGGCAGGGGCTGGGGCAGGAGGGGGCGGGGGCTGGCTTGGGGTAGGGGCCTGGTTCTGGGTGTGGCCCTGCCTGAGCTAAGTCCAGGGTTCTGAGGCCACCCTCTGGGGGGCCGGGACAGGTGACACCCAGGACACTCCTGCTAGGATGGGTCTATCCATTGAGGAGCTGAGGGAGGAGCTGGAGGTCACGGCTCAGGAAGTACTAGGGAGACTCAAGAGCCACCAGCTGTTCCAGTCTGCGTGGGACACCACTGCCTTCATCATCTTCCTCACTTTCATGGGTGAGTGTGGCCACAGCCTCCAGGTCCCACCAGCCCCCTACCCTGGGGCCAAGAAGCTTGGGGCCACAACTGGCTGCCCGCCCTGTCCCCAGGCACTGTGCTGTTCCTGCTGCTGCTGGTCGTGGGCCACTGCTGCTGCAGCTGCTGCTGCAGCTCCCCCAGGCCAAGGGGGAGCCCCGGGAAGGTGAGCCCCAAGGCTTCCTGGGCACCAGGGGCAGCCTGGAACTGCACCAGGGCTGGGGGTTGCAGGAGGTGAGGGGGTGGGTGCAGATCCAGCTAGGGAGGGGGGCGACTTGGAACAGAGGGGTGAACCCCACCGGCCACTCTCTGTGCCTCTCTTGCAGGAGAGACCCAAGGGAGTGGATAACTTGGCCCTGGAACCTTAACCCTGCGAGTCCCCACCAGCCTCTTCCTTGTGTCCTGCCGGGTGACAGTAACAATGCCTTGTGTTTGCTCAAAGCCTGAGTCTGGACTGTGATCCAAATTCCTGTTGGTGTAGGCAGCGTGGGGACAAACTGCTCCATTTAGATGCTCACAGTGTCCCTCCAAGTCTTCCACTGTATAACTGTGTTGTTCCTCCTGGACAGCTGACCATTGGGAGGGGAAGCTGGTCTGACTCGGGGCCTGAGCTCCCAGGCTGAGCTCTTGCCACTGTCCCACTCAGCCCCAGATGGAAGCCAGAGGACCCTCTCTCAAAGGTGGGTTCTGTGCCCAGCACTGGCATGGCACAGTGAGGAAGAGGGGAGGCCATCAGCACCAATAACTTGGACCCGGCTCCCCACAAAGACAGACAGACAGATGGGGGCTCCAGGCAAAGTCTGATGATCTTTATGTTTTAGAGGCCCTAGGGGGTTGCAGAGCACACAGACAACCGGCTCTGCGGCTCACTGAAGGGGGCGGCTCCCTCTGCCCAGCTTGTCCTCCCTCCTCCCAACTCAGGCTTAGTGCCGAAGCCCACCCCTTACTCTCCAGCCAGGCACTCACCATCCTGGGGGCAGGGAAGGGGGAGAGGAAGGAGAGCCCTGGGCCTGGCCCCACCCTGAGTCTGAAGGTTCCTGTGGATCCCAGGAGGGCCCCAAAACACCAAACCAGCATCCCTTCCTCCCAGCACTTCCAGCGTTCATTCCCATCGATGCAGATGTGTCATCCAGGGCGGGGTGGAGAGGGAGATAAATAGTGCTCTGGCCGGCACTGTGGGATGGGCATATGTGGGGGACAAGGACTCCTGGGCAGGGGCCACTTCCCAGAGGACAGGCTCCTGGGGCGCTGCACTCAGAAGGGTCTGTAGCTCCAGTAGCTGGAGAACACGGAGATCTGTGGGGGAGTGAGCGTGGTCAGTTGGCATGAGGAACCATGGCCAGTGGGCGTGCTGGACGGCTCTCTGCAAAGCTCCCACCCCGCTGGGGCCTGTCCCTCCTGTATCCTCTGTGACCCAGGTGAGATGTCAAGGTCATCGAAGGGCAATGTGTTGGGGGCAGTATTTTTGTCCAACAACACTGCTTGGTGTGCATGGGGGAACTTTAAGATTTGGGGGTACTATGGAGGTGTGACAAGAGCCTTTGGAATCCGCTTACCCACAAATGGAGGGGCTTAGCAGCCTTGCCCACCCCCCACACCTCCGCAGTCCCCCACCTTATCCTTGAGCTGCTGGCAGAGCTGCAGGGAGACAGTGAAGTAGACGAGGGCATCATTGAGCCAAGGGATCACACATTCCACCTTGTGCACGTGACTCACTTCCAGGCGCTGGGAGCCCCACTCACTGGGGGGAGAAGAGAAGGTCCCTGAAGGTGGGCCAGCCCCCCATCCCCAAGGCACAAAGGGGTGGGCCGGGAAGGGTGTTCCAGGACCTCCCCTACCCCCGTACTTACAACATGGCCCCAGGGCTGTGGAGTACGGCGCCTCCAGCTGGGCGGAAGTTCTAGGCAGAAAACACCAGACCAGGTCAGGCCGCGGGGTCCCCAGGGCACCAGAACAGAGGGTGGGGGATGGCAGGCAGCATCAGGGTCCCCTCACCTTGGTGGAATTGGGCTGCAGGGCATGCAGCTGGTACACTGTGAGGCAGAGCTTGTTGAGGTTGATGTAGACATTGACCAGCAGGTCGGAGGGCAGGGCGGGGGCAAACATCCTCTGGGGGAGGCAGGAGGATGAGGCCCCTCCCGAGTCTGCCCACCACGGTGGGGCCCTGCTGCACCCATCTGAGGCTCTGAGCCATTCATGGAGTCTGCAGAGGGCCCAGCCTCTCCTCTGCAGAATCACCTCACAGAGACCCCAGTCCCCACCCCAGAGGAGGGTCCTCCTATGGACTGGGGCTTCCAGAATTTTCCCAGGTGCCCTGGGTATCTTCCTGTGCTGCTGACCATAGGGTTAACATATTTGGGGGACACAGGATGGAAACCAAAAACCCCACCCCAGAAGAGTGTGCAGACATAGAATTCTGACCGACTACCATCTGGGGGGTGACAGTCCTCTGCAGGGGCAGGCTGGGCTCTCTGTGGGAACCTCTTCTGGAGCAAGGGTGGTTCAAGGCACTGACCGTGAGGCCGCTGGCCGCAATCTCGGACAGGGTGAGGGTAGCCGGGGTGGTGAGCCGGTTGCGAGCTCTGGTCAACTGCAGCATCACAGCATCCATCAGCTGGAGTGGGGGGATGTCACAGCTGCTGCTGAGCAGGGTCTGACAGCCCCCAACCTCCACCCCAGCAATCAGGGAGCAACAGTTATGGTAGCTCCTGTCTGGGTGATCACAGTTCTCTTGAACACCCTGTGGCAGGGGCTTGTTAAAGACACAGGTAATTGGGCTCCAGCTGGGGGTGGGAGGCAGGACAGCTGTACTGGTGACCATCATTCAGGTTTATTGCATGTGGATCCCGGGTGCTGGTCCAATGGGGAATGGCAGACTCTGGGAGGTAAGTCCCAGGAGCACAGGCATTATATTGTGGATGAGGGTGCAGGCAGTGAAGGAGCTTAGAAGGGGCCAGGGAGGGCCTCCTGGAAGAGGAGATAGATGGCTGGGTTGAGGTCTTAAGGTAGGCGGCAGCCCCATTTTCACATGTGAGGAAACTGAGGCTCCAAAGAGGTAAGCCATGGTTCCAGCTGGGGGATAGTGGAGTCATCTGGAGCTCATCCCTTCCCTTTGCCATGGAGCAAAGCCCTGGCAGACTCCTCAAAGCTGCAGCTTCCACTGCCTCCTGGTGGCCATCCAGCTGTTGCCATTGGCACCAGGGTGACCTGGCTCCAGGAAATGCAGAACAGTTGGGTGAAGGCATGGGAGCTGCACCACCCCAGGGTTGTCACAGTTCTGCAAGGGACCTCAGTTCATCTCATTCCAAATATGAGGAACCAGAGGTTCAGAGAGGGTAGGTGAACCACTCAAGGACACACAGCAAGTCAGGGTAGAGCTACAGCACAACTCCAGGGCATCTGAGACAGGTCTCCCAAACACCCAGTGGACTCACTCTGTAATGAACCTAAAGGCGTTTACTACTGTTGCTGCTCCCAACAGCTAGCTTGTATTTGCAGAGAGCTTCCTGGGGACCATGCCACTTAACCTACATTATAATACTTAATAGTCACTCCAGCTTGTCCCCCTTTTACAGATAAGGAAATGGGGTGCACAGAGTGGTTAAGTAAGTGACTGAGGTTGCACAGCTTGCAGTGGCAGCTCTGGCTCGGAACCCAGGTCTGACTGCTGTGGCTGCACATATGTACGCTGACAGGTGAAGGTTCAACCTTTGGCTAGGCCTTAGGATGTGGGCCCAGGCCCAGGAAGCACAGGGCACCCTGAGAGCCTGGGGGCAGCACTCTCCAGGGGCCCAGGCAGGATTGGGGCTGGGGGTGAAGCCTGGCTCTCTCGCCCCTGAGGGCAGTTCACCTTGAGGACCTCGGCTCCTGTCTTGAACTGGTAGCCCTCATCCCGGTTGGTAAGGAGGTAAATGGCTTGGCTCACGTGGTTCCTGGCATCCTGGATCTAAAAACAGCACCCACCAAGCTGTCATCGTGCTGGGAGAGCGGCACATGGACCCCACCCTGAGGGGCTGTCCTCCCGACCCAGGTCACTCTCTTCCCTGGCAGTTATCTCTGCGCCCTCAAGGGCCAGGCCAGATGACAGGTGCACAGCACAGACTGAGGTGGGCCAGGCCTCTGCCTTGTGTAGCTGACCTTCTAAAGGCAAGACAGATGGTAACGGGGTCAATACACAAGATAGCAACAATCTGTGTGACTTGTGGAAGGGTGACATGGGGAGGGGGAGCCTCCTGGTTGGGGGGTCAGAGGTGGCCCCAGTGAGGTGACTCTTGAGTGGAAAACAATGGGATGAGAAAAGCCTGGAGGGCAATTCTAGGCAGAGAAAACCTGCCAGGCAGAGGCCTCAGCCCAATGGCATAGGGGCTGGTAGGGAGCATGGACTTTGTCTCAAGAGACATCCATCTCCCCACATGGAGCAGGCTCTGGAGCCACAGGACCCGCCTGCCCCAGCTTTGCTTGCTAGGAAACACACTCCCAGGCTTGCTGTTGCCACAAATCCCCAGGGCCAGTCCCTTTCCACAGAGGCCAGCCCCAGGGAGGCCTCCAGGCAGTGCAGCAGGCCTGCCTTTGCCTGCCCTTGTGGACTGAGCCCAGGCCAGGGAGGGGCTGGTCACCTGCTGCAGCTTCCACTGCTTGTCCTCCCGGAAGGCAAAGTGCAGCAGCTGGTTGTTCCGGGGCATCTTCAGGTTCACGTCCTGAAGGGCAAGAGTGGGATAAGCTGGGCAGAGGGGCACCTCCTGTTTAAGCCACCCTGAGCCCTTGAGCCGGGGCAGAAATGGACAGGGTGGGTGGTGGTTCAGGCCCCAATGCTCCACATGCAGAGGGTCTCCCTATGCCTTGGCCATTTTGGGAGTGAACAGGGAGGTCAGGAAACAGGAACTCAGGCCCAAGAGGAACCACAAAGAAATGAAAGGGAAAACACACAGAGAGGGGAAGGTGGCCTCTGAGTTTTGGTGGGTGAATGAGGAGTGTCTGTAAAGGCCAACAGACTGAAAGCGGCTGAGAGGGACCTCCCACACGCTGGGGAGCCTGGCATAGGGTTGGGTGCAGGCTGGAGCTCAGATGTTGGCTGGTTCAACTTTGATCTGGGGCCAGCCTTATTCTGACAATGCCCATGCTTCACTGGGTCCAGATGCTGGGCTGTGTGCAAAGGAACCCCCTTCCCCCACCTCCACCTCTCGCTGAATCCACACACCAATTCCACAAGAAGGTGCGGGGCTTGCTGTCATTTTACAAAGCAGGAAAGTGAGGCCCAGAGACGTCAAGGGTCCTGCCCATAGCCACACATCTAGCTGGTCCCCATGCTCTTCCCCACTGGCAGGATGGGAAGGGGAGAGGGGCTGGGGGACTCACCGCCTGGCTGAGGGCATCCCCTTGCAGAGTCAGCACGCCCTTCACTTGGTCTGTGCTGTAACACGTGGGGGTCAGATCAGTGCCTGTTGCTGCCCCCTCTCAGGTGGCTTCCCCAGGATGGCCCCCTGCACACCCAATCAGTCTGCAGGGTAGGGCCATGGCCCTGCCTCCTGCCCCCAGGGTACCCCAGGAGTCCCCCAACTCAAGGAGCCCATCCCTCCTGGTTTCTACCCAGCCAAGGCTCACCCACAGCTTCCCAGGATGAAGTTCTCCTGCTTGGCCAGCCCCTCGGCGCCCGAGCCCTGCAGAGTGAAGCGGAGAGAGGCCTCCTGCAGGACAGAGGGGATCTGGAGACAGTTCACCCATCTAGCCCAGTGCCCCTTCTAGAAGCCCCCCACCTGCAGGTCGGTTGGGGAAGGAACAAGGTGGGATGGCCCTACCCAAGGCTCCGGGGCACCTTCCTGCTGCTCTGGCCGCTCTCCCACAGCCTGAGTTTCAGATCCTGCATTCCCTGAATGCCTACTGTGTGCCCACCACAGGGAATACAGAGCAGAGAGGTGCCGCCTCCCAGCGTAGCTGAGGGCTCGGGCGGAGGGGAGCAGAGTCAGGGACTAAGACAGTAGTCACGAGAACCCGCAATTCTGGGCCATGCCAGGCTCGGCGCTGGTCACTTTTGTAAGTGAACTGGCTTATTTATCTTCCCAGCAGCCCTGCGAGGCGGTTACTGTTACCTCCTTTCTGCAAAGGAGGGCAGGGAGGCCCAGAGAACTGGAATAACTCTGCTGAGATCCCACTGCTGGGGAGCGGCAGGATTCTTCAGCCCCAGGTTAAATGTCACTGCTTCTTGGGGTCAAACCCTGGCCCTCGCTGCTCCCGTCGCCAGGATCCGCGCCCACCCAATCACACAGCTGCTTGTGTGACCAGTATCGCTCTGCCCGTCCCCAACAGGCCACCG